ATAACCTGATGGTGAATACTTACGGCAAAAACATGTAGTGTATAGTAAGAAATAAAAAAAATCAGTTTAAGTTCACGTAACGGTTAATTTTGTGACGTAAGTAAAGTCGGTATAGGTAAATATTTGTCTGATAAAGTTCCTATCCAGAATGGTCTCAGACAAGGAGACGCTTTATCGCCACTCCTTTTCAACTTTGCCTTAGAATATGCCATTAGGAAGGTCCACGGAAACCAGGTGGGACTTAAATTAAACGGGACACATCAGCTGTTGGTCTATGCCGATGATGTGAATCTACTGTGTGATTGTGAAACTTGGTCTCTGACATTAAGGGAGGAACATAGACTGAAGGTGTTTGAGAACAGGGTGTTTAGGAGAATATTTGTACCGAAGGGGAATGAAGCGGCAGGAGGTTAGAAAAATGTGCATAATGAGGAGCTTCATAACTTGTACACTTCTCCAAGTATAATTAGAAGGATCACGTCAAGGAGGATGAGGTGGGCAGAGCATGTAGCAGGAATGGGGAGTCGAGGAATGTGTATAGGATATTGGTGGGAAAGCCAGAAGGAAAGAGACCAAGGTGTAGGTGGGTGGACAATATTAAAATGGATCTTAGAGAGATAGGATGGGGTGGTATGGATTGGATTGATCTGGCTCAGGGTAGGGACCAGTGGAGGGCTTTTATGAACACGGTAATGAACCTTCGTGTTCCATAAAATGCTGGGAAACTCTTGAGCAGCTGCAGATTTGGCTTCTCCTCAAGAAGGGCTCAGCTCCATAAGTAAGTACTGAATACATATCTCAGGTTCATGCATATACTTATGGTGAAGTATATGAAGCATGTGCGATGTCTACAGGTAAATGTACTTGCATTTCTCAACCCTTTAAAGGACAGTGGTAACTACATATACCACTTGCTCTGATTTTAAGGAAGTCTCCATTTTGCAAAAAGAATGTATGTATTGTTTCATGTTGCCTATGCAACGCGACAAGTAAATTCACGCAGGTCTCGGATTTGGCTAAGACGTTTATTTGACAATCTCCTTTACCCTTGCAAGTAAAATTATTCACAACTTCATTATTACAGTTACTTGCACCGCTGATCTTGCTGAAGTGTCTTGATCCCTTTGTCGGATGCGAGCTTGCTTCTGCTCTAGTCGGAGCTACGCTAAAAACTGATTGGTCTCGTCGAAGCTGGACTCTTATAACGTGCACTCGGACTGAATGTAGGAGGCTTTCGTTTCGCCCGCTGTTATGAAACGAACCTCCTGTTGTTCTTTCATCTTCGGGGAAACGCATCTGTTGTTTAAGCGATTCCTAGGCAATGTCCTGCTGGTATTATTCCATTCCCAGTGAAGTATACATGTTTATCGCAGCCGTTGTCATGCAACTGCCTCGAACAATTCGTTGTTTAGGTTTGCTAGCGTTCGGATTCCAAGGCGTGCATCGGGAACACTGGTCGTTGCCTAGGAAATCAATTCTGATCTCCTCAACCAATCTGGCTTTACGGCGGCAAGCCATAATATGTTTGGTATAAGCCTCACAATAAACGAGTCTCCCTGAACATAATTCACTGAGTGGTCTTTGTCATGGAGACGCAGTGTGACTTCTGTAAGGGAGGAGCTCAATTTCTGAGTATTATTCAGATAAAGTTCATGCTTCAAAGGGTCAACATAAATAAAGATGAGCCGTCATCTTCAGTCTCCGGTCGTTTTTCACATAGGCAGGGATGGCCCAATGTGAATGCAGTCGAAAGCCAAGCAAACGGATCAATCCTGCTCTTTAGGAAATTGAATCGTAGCGGTCAAGGCCTTAAACGACATTCAAAAACTGAGCTTTCTATGTTAACTTTAACTGAGCATTTATCTGGAAGGGCTGGTAAAACTACGGAAATTCACAGTCTGGATTTCAGGTCCTTAATCCTAGATTAGAACCAGAAGCCTTCCGAATGCGATGCCCAAGTGTTACGCACCACATCATGGCTTTGGGTTGGAGGATGAGGTGTACAGGGTGTTTGTAAGTTGACTGGCTGTTTGGGGCATAGCAAGGAGATGCTGCAAAATCCTCTGCAGCTTGATGTTCTCAAGTCCCTACCCTACAAAATACTTGCTAGAAAAACTACTGTGTTTAGCCACATATAAAACACTTGCTCCCAGGACCAGATGACCACAAACCCCTCACAAGAGCGGGTCATGCCCACGTTTAATCTCTGTGGCCATGACTTCGCCCCTTCCCTCATCAGCACGCAATCCCATTTGAATTCTCGTGCAGAAGAGAGTGAAACCAGGCGAGAGAAAGTTCTAGTGCATTCCCACATGCTTGAAGCTTCTGAAAAGCTTTCGCGCAAAGCCAATACTGACAGATGAAGGAATGTAACATTGGAATGAGACATGAGAGGGGAAACCGAGTTACTCATGAAACCTGCCCGTGCCACTATGCCTCTAATAATTTCCATATAAACTCACCAGGGGTTGAACCTGAGCTGTCGCGATGAGAATTCTGTGAACCCTTGAGATATGAAACTAACTAATCAACCAACAAAAAAAAAATCAATGAAAGAAATAAAGTATTTATTGTTTAATCAATTTAAAGAAGCAAATTATCAAAAAACTTAGAAGTAACTAACCAGCAATGAAATAATTAAACAGAAAAAACACTTCACTCACCAATTCAATTAACAGATAAGCTAAGAACTAGCTAACCAAACAACAAACTCCGTACTAACTAAACCATCGAAGACAAATTAAGAAGTAACGAACCAGAAATTAAAGTAAGACAGAAGTAAGCTCGCTAAATAACGAACAGGCAAACTAGGAACTAACTATGAAGAATGCCGTCTTCTGGGATGTGGCGCCGTGTAGCTAATGTGTGAACCGACGTTTCAGAGGAACGTATCGTCTCCATTTTTACTGCGTCTGCAGCCACCTGCTCAAGCTAGTTTCTCGCTTGCTGATTTTTCTACCCCAAATGGAGGCGATACGTTCCTCCGAAACGTCGGTTCACACATGACATTCTTCGTATTCACCGCCGTGTATAACTCCAAATCTTATATAGTAACTAACTAAACCAAACAAAAAATAACCAGGCAAACCAAAATTCTAACTAAGCTATTAGTTGCTGGCTTCCCACCTCGGCGGCCCGGGTTCGATCCCGGGTCTGGTCAAGTGGGATTTGTGGTGGACAAAGTGGCGCTGGGGCGGGTTTTCTTAGAGTACTTTGGTTTCCCCTGACAATCTTCATTCCACCAAATTCTCCATCATCATAATCACCCGGGGCAGGCTACAATAGAGCAATCAGTGGCCGCAGTGCCGAGTGGACCCAGTTGGACTCCACCCCCCACTAAACGAATTAAAAAAAATAATAATCAAAGAAGCTATCTGAGAACCAACGAACATAACAAAATTACTAATCAATTAATAAACCCTATGGTGCACGGTCTCTCGTGTTCATGAGTCAGCAAGTGACGCAGACGGTTAAGGAAATCCCCAATTTCATAACACTGAAGAGCAATAGGGTAGAATGGTACTGACACTTAAATTACTCTATTATGCACAACATGAACAAGGAACATGACACGAACACGTGATGGGATGTCGTTCGCGTGTACTATTGCCAAAACTCAACAAATCTCACTGGATACGTACTAATCATACATGGAGACAGAAGACTTCTCCAAAACGCTGGTAACTATACCAGACTATTAGGCGTCACATTCCAGAAAAAAAAAGGAATATTGATATTTACTGCTGTGATAAACTCAAATCCCTAAATTTTCGCGGAATCTGGTGTCTGTGAATCAGCAGTAAATGTCTGTCTGACGAACTCAATTTGTATCCATCTCGACCGAATATAAACACTAATTTACATGCAACTCGAACGGAAGTTTACAATGACAGTCTAAAATACATTATGCATGATGCAAAATGCACGCATGAATAAAATCTACTACTTTTTATGTGAATTGGTTACAAGTACAGTAAGCTTACATTTTTCTTGCTATGAATAAGGGAAAATGTTTTAATTGTTGTATGTTCTAAGACATCTATAGTGCGTTTAGTTTTGCAAGAACAGATTTCTATAACATTAAATATCTTATAAAACGTGAAGTAATTTAGTCTTATAGATCGGTACTGGTTTCACACCGAAACGTTGGTACTTCTCTATCAAATTCCACCGCATCATATCCTAGAAAAAGTAATCTTCGCTCTGTGAACCTTGAAACTTGCATTCATTTATATAAAGGAACCTCAAATCCGGCGAGGTAAATAAGAGAGCAGAGAACACGTTCGGAAAATAGTGGAGTAAACTGACTGACTTACAGACAGACTAACAAACAAATTGAAACAAAACTAAATAACTGATATCAAGGGGCACAGCACATCCTGCGAAGTCAATTTTTACTGTGGTACTAAAAAATCTTCGAATTTTATGGAACAGGATGGGTCATTGCCGAGTCCACAAGAGTCCACCAATAGTCCCTATCCTGGGCCAGATTAATCTAGTTCACGCCCTCCCATCGCATTTCTTCAAGTACAGCCTTCCATTTGCATCTTAGGGCAATAAATTGTGTTTTGACGACTGTGACAAGCGGCGTTCATAAATTCGCAACTCCACTGTTACACTTTTGAGCTCATTATGAACCGGGGTTTCCGTTTGTCGCGCCTAATGCCTACAGTCCTGCCTCACTTATAGCTCCCTGATCACATTTACATGTGAAGTAGGAAGTCACAGCTTCGATAAAGAATGTAGCGCTCTTCATTTTAACGTCAAACGTCGAAGAGCGCAGTCCCAAGTTCGCACATATCAGTATGTGTGGCTGCGTCGGCCCTTACAGTTCAAATACACAACTAAAAAAAAAAAAAATGTGCCAGCCAGCGCTGCCTCGAGGTGGACACCGTTAATCGCTGATAGGAATAATAGTACAACTGCGGCGGGATTTTAGTTCTCACATGAATATAAGGTCTACACTGACTGTAGAGGAGATGCCCCAACGGTCTACTCACCGTCTCCTTGGTCCCCTCGAGCCGCCGCCCGTCAAGCTTCCACGTAATGCTGGCGGGTGGTCTGGAGCCTGATGACTGGCAAAGCAAGTCGTACCTCCTGCCCTCAGACAGAGGCTGGCTGGCCCCCAGGATTCTCACGTCCAGTGGCATGACTGCAACACATGACAAAATAACTTGTTATATCGACAGTATAATGAGCCCGGAAATTTATTTTATGTATCAAATCAGAGTTTCGACGGAGGGGGACACACTAGGGGCGAATGGTGGGAAAACAGTGACCTACTGGACTTCCAAGAAGAACAGTTCATTATTCAGAGACTAAAATTATTAATATTTGTGGACATATACGCATATATTGTCACGTGATTATAGACGGGGTTTGGATTGTTAATGAGATTTACTGAACATTTACTTACTTACTTACGGCACTGAGCCCTTCTTGAGGAGAAGCCAAATCTGCAGCTACTCAAGAATTTCCCAGCATTTTATGGAACCCGAAGGTTAATTACCGTGTTCACAAGAATCCTCCACTGGACGATATCCTGAGCCAGATCAATCCAAATCATTCCATCCCATCCTATCTCTCTAAGATCCATTTTAATATTGTCCACCCACATACGCCCTGGTCTTCCAAGTGGTCCCTTTCCTTCTCTCTTTCCCACCAATATCCCATATGCATTCCTTTTCTCTCCCATTCGTGCTACATGCCCTGCCCACCTCATCCCCCTTTTACTTGCTCAATTACTGAACATTTACAGATCGTAACTACAAGTAACTATAGCGCTATCGCTAATGTTCACACTCTGCAGTTCATTACAGTACGCACTAAGTCTTCTCAGTCTGCTGTATATTCACCGGTTGTTGTCTGGTAACGGCTTCCAACGCCGTAGATCCCTAAAATTAAATGTTCACGTTCTTTCTGTTCGGTGACTGTCTCACAAACTAACTAAGCTCTAGACTTGACCTGCTTGTAACACTTCGACACGGACAGCGTAAAGTGAATCGCTTCCCTCTTAATCCATTGGTGCTTGTTAGGAATCTGTTGCGGTCACTACTTAGCAACGGTCGTTGATACGTGTATAATGTTCAGGAGGTAAATTGGTCCCAAAGCTGACATTTATTTTTAGCCTAATTTCCTTACGTTGAAATAATAATATGAAGCTTATGAGATCACCTTAAATTTCCGTGTGTCTGTGTTTCCCATCTATCAGTTTTAATGCAATGTAACTTAACGCCTGAAATCCGGAATAGGGAAGCCAGAAGAGACGACCGTTATTAGGCAATGGTTCTGTTAACATGTTGGACGCGTTGTTTTCTATAAGGTTCGTGTCATGTCCAAGGAAAGCAGGTGATTAGTTCTTCCCAGAACTTCTTGTTATACTTTTATCCTGTGGTACATAAAGATTTGGTTTGATGTAACTTAAGCGACACACAAGTATAAAGCAATGTAAGCGAAAACTGACTTTAAAGATAACAGCAAATGAGAAAATATGAAGCCAGAAAATCCCATGATGCAGCAGCTAAATACTAAACGTGTTGGCCAGTAATCTTCCAGAAGATCAGAAAAATATTAGGGCCATAGTCTACAAAGTTACGTTTATATTAAGTTATGATACATTTATGTTAATATTGTAGCATGTAGGTCCGTTGCTAAGCAACGACTGCGAAAGAACAGCAGTTACTAATTGACGGCCTCGCAAACAAGCATTTCTGCACTGCATTAATTGGAAACAGCAACAGAGGAACGGCATTTTCTGTGCGTTCCGTGCCGAGACAAGACAGTTGGAGCAATAAGTTACTTGTGAGACAGTCGCCAGGCGGTAAGAACGTGAGCACAGAAGCAGAGGACATTGTTAGGATCCGTCACTAGGAAACGACTGATTGAGACATAGAAAACTGCTGTGGTTACAGTGATTTGTGTAGAACAGCGAGAACATAATTTGTATCTATAGTTACCTTCTGTAAGTGTATAATAAATCTGATTACCAATTCAAACTCTGTCTAAAAGTCAAGGAAGCTGGGATGTAGAGTCCATAATGAAACAGGACAAATGTTACTGAATATGGCAGTTAGCGACGTAAGTTTGCTCAGAGCACTGAGGGATAAAACACTCCCCGCTTTGTGATGTACTGTATGTTGGGCGAGTTACATGACAGGACAGGTTGGTATGAAGAGAACGTTCGGTTCGAATACTGTACGGGACACAGTCTATTCTGGGTTTGTGTTTTGGTCTTCTCAGTACCTCCAAGCAAGTGTCATGATTGTACTTCGGTTAGTTCATAATCACTTTCCTCAAAACCATTTCCAATTCTTCATTGCTCAGTCATCAAGTCATTCGAATTTACGGTATAATCGCGATAATATAGGTTCGTTAAATGTCCTACCTTCCACGAAGTTGAACGTTTTACGTGTAAGGCAATGACATTTGCTTTGGTTTGAGGAGCAGGGGCTCCGCTCAATGTAATAAGGGGCACTGTACGGCAAACCAAATGTTTTCCATGCAGGGGAGTAGCTGTGAGTAAACTCGCCCACGCTCAGGGACATAACGTAAACCATGCCAAGTCAAATGTTACTGTGTATGCAAGCGATCGAAGTACCGATATTAACGAGCGTCGTATATGCCTTACTGTCCTGTGGTGTATACCGCACATCGAATCCTGTGTGCTTGGTTATGAAAGCCTATATCTTTTTATTGTCCTTAGTGGATCGTTTTATTTGTATTGGATCCATACGCAAAACTCGAAATATGGCTTTATGATATGTTGATGTATGGTGACGTAAGTATGATGAAGTTAATCATGGTGATGTCGCAAGCCTGTATCTGTGGCGTGGGATATGTCATAGCTAATCTCAATATGTATGTAAAGTGCTGAGTAATCCGTATTCTGTATCTTTCTTTTTTCTTTGAAGTTTTGTAAAAATTTATAATTCTGGAGCCATACAAATAAAATGTATTCTTACGTTTTTATATTTTTCGGGATTCTCGTTTTCCGTTGTTCTGAGATACTTTAAGTACCTACATTACACAGTCTCGAACAGTTCGATTATCGCTGAACAGAGAACTCGAAAATATTCGGAAAGAAGCATTCGTGACGAAATCGGAGTACTAGGTCTTAAATATGCCCGGAGGGACTGAAGAAAACCAAGAAATAATTCAGTCAGGATATCTGGCGACCCGGCCCGGATTCGAACGGTGTGCCTTCCGAATACAAATCTTGAGCGTTAACTCGAAAGCAGCCTGTTTTGTTGCCTGGCTTCTAATTATTGTAAGAAGGCAATGAATGGAACTAGGCTTCTCTCGATTTCTTCTTCTGATAGTGTAAAAGCAGATCCAAGCAGTGTATTCAGAAGTTGAGAAATTTATCTGCGTTTGGATTTAATTTGAAGAGGCTTCTACCATAGCGCGTGAATAGCGATGCACTTGGTGCTATTCCACACGTTCAGGTGGTATTATGGGATTCCCCTTTGTGTATCTCCATTATACAGTTCAGGCGCTTCCTCGAAGCTTGCTAATATCTCAGCAACAAAATCATTTATCACAAAATGTTCCGTCTATGACTGGGAGGAGGAAACTCCTAATGAACAAAATCGGTTCCCTGTGAAGGAGCTTCCTGTCACGTGTTACGCCAGGGGTGGATATAATACGTATCTCCTCCATATTATTACACTTTCACAGAGAATAAATCTTACTGTGAGAAGAACTGAATCAAGAACCAGGAGTATGCGTGTGTGATCAGAGGTGTTAATTTCACTTTCTTTTTAAGACAACTTAATGTACTTGTATCTGGAGGCGTCGAGCTCAAGTAACTTATAATTACGATAATTTACAAATCTCATCTGAGCCTGTACAATATATCCCACTGAGAGGTAACTCATAGCTGATATTAAACCTGTCTCAGAGTTGTTTCCTTATTAATAAAAGATGTTTATGAGGTCACCTTATTCCTGTCCGTGTTACGAGGCTTATGAAACCATCTTGATCTCTGTGTGTCTGTGTTTCCCTTCTATTGTTGCTAGGCAGCGGATTGTTTCTGTATCTGTGTCGGGTCGGGCAAATTACTCCAGGGCGTCGCCAGCACAGTCATTCATTTTTCTGAGTCCCGCGGGACACAAGGTTATGTTTTACATGTGCATATGTACTGATTCTGTGAGTCTGTGTCTGTCTGTTTCTCTCCCTTAATTATTTCGTTTTCTTTATGGTCCGTGTCCTAGCAATGGAAAGTAAGTCAATTTGATATTAAAACTGAGTTCCTTGAAAGAAAGCACAGTATCAGAAATACAACTTACGATGCCATACAAGCAAATATATCCTATTCTTCTACATATATTTAAGAAGTAGTAAAACAGTGAGATGAAACATCCGAAATTAAGCATCTCTATTTTACCATAGCAACGAGCTGTGGGGCATTAAAACATTGAAAGTTATGGCGTTGGTCATGGAGGAGCAGGCAGTCATTTTGCTTCAGTGTATCTTCTCCACTATGTGGGTACTGGTAATATTTTGATGTAGTATACTATATATTGGAAACGGTTTAAGCTTGTCTATTTGCGTGTGTTATTCGTGGGAGATGGTGATAAATAGATCATTTTATAATATGTATCACTAGAAATGAATAGAAGAGAAGGGTTGGAGGATATCTTGATTAAATGAGTTCTACTGGCAGTTAAAGACAAAGGTGTCCCTGAACTCCAGTATCTCTCCAAGAAGGCGTAAAGGGGAAGTGTTAAGAATGCATCACACACATTATAACAACTATTCGGTAGAGATCAGTAGTTAAATTCACGCTATGTCTGCTGTAACCCAGAATAACGAGCTTGCGATGCCCAGTGGACAACAAGCTGTGTGTTCCAGATCTTCGTATTTGGATTAAATGCCATTGGGTCAGTCCACTAATGACGGGTAGTTGTGGGAGATATGTAGCATATTAAGAACCACTACTAGACGTTCGTGATGATGGTACATCACGAGTAAACTTGTGATGACTGAGATCCTGGATTTTGTCCATTGTCTGGTACTCAGAAAGAACAGCTACGTTTCGGAAAGTGCATATATTTTCGTCCCCAAGCGAAATGGTAGGGAAGCACATACTAAGTTGGAACATTAGAAAAAGCTTATCTCCATCAATAAACCGTTATCATTGTGAAGCGACAT